TAACAGAGCTTCAGACGTTTCTGCGTTTTTGTGGCGTGTCTTCGGGCGTCAGCGCGGCGCGAATCTGGCGTCGACTTGGAGCGTCTTGAGCGTTCAGGCGTCAACGCTTCCCGGGCGTCGTACTATCCAGTGACAGAACGACATCATTATCTGGAAGAAGGAGAAGAAAGAGAAAGATCCAGAACCACAAACACCAGAACAAGAAATCTACGCCATGTCATTAGTGGATATATAAACGCCAGAGCCACCATGTCGATTGCCAGGACTAAACCAGGACTGATTCATCAGCCGGTTTCACTTTGTGGAAACCGTCTGACCTCGTAGCATTAGGTTGTTCACTCGATGGTAGACAGGTACTTTTTTTAATTTAAACAATCGCTGCTGTTTGGTCTTGACGGACAATAACGTCTTTCCTCTTGATAAAATTCACCAAACATTCTCTTTGTTCCGGCTTTAAATCCTCGATCTCGGGAATCGTTGCCAACACTGAATGTCTGTCTTCGTCTACATCAGGCATGTCCAAACTACGGCCCGTGGGCCAAATGCGGCCCTCAGACATATTTTTCTTGGCCCTCTGGCTTCCAGGTGAATTGGCCCAAATGACCTTACATCATTTAAAAATTTACTTCTTACTGCAAGTTTTTGGAAAATCTACCTTGATAAAGCGAATATTTAATATTTGGTGTGTGGTTTTAAGGATCTTAGCATGAGACATCAGTGTTTATTCATGTTATTTGTATTAAACATTCACATATTTTAATTATTCTCTGTATTGAACACCAGTCTACGTCCCTCGATCGGCCCCCTGTTTATCTGTGTTTAGATTTGTGGCCCTTGATGAAAAAAGTTTGGACACCCCTGGTCTACATCCATCTCGACGCTTTGTTTACTGTTGTGTTGTACCACAAAATGGACCCAGACAGACGCGACGAGTTTGACGTCATGGCTTCACAGCTCTTCGCTGATTGGCCGGTGCGCGGTCTACAACTTCAGGGATTCTTGCAAATCTAGTGTATTCTGATTCCTGATCTAGTCACTGGAGAGAAATGAAATTGAGCGAAGGCACTAGGTGGCGCTAGTCTGGCTAGAGTAAACCAGGACTGAACCAGGGTCATTAGTGTAGTAAAAATAAATACACGCTGCAGCTGCTGAGCCGATCTCCTTTGCTGATGGTTTTACCTCATAAATACACTAAAGTTATTCTCTCATCCTGTTCTGCCATCGTTCCGGGAAAACGGGACTTGTTTCCAGGGCAGCGGACGCCCTGGACATGCGTCAAGTATTTTTCTCCCTTTCAACCGAGGTGTCCAAAACGCGTGTCAGGGGTGTCTTAGCTCCAATACGAAGGCGTCCAACTAGAGGTGTTTTTTGACGCCCCGGTCTAAACGGACGATCACACCCCCCGGGAATGTTGATGACATCAACTGAAAAGTGTCAGTAGAGCAGGAGACTACAAACTGTAGCTCTCCACCCCTTTCCAAGTAGCTCACCAAGGGATTTCTGAGTTATATATACTGTGCTGAATAACTAAACCTGTAGTAATTGCCACTGTAAATGTATAATTTTGATGCCTAACTAAATAGATGGATAATGGTTTGTGGTTTATAGGCGTCCAGCTGTACTCCCTCTAATGTTTGCCATGGGGTAATAAATGTTCTATAAATGTTCTAATAGCTCTCTGGCATTTTTGTTTGGTAAAAGGTTGGAGACCCCTGCAACAGAGAATAATATATATATTTTTTACACTCTAAAGCTCCTATATTACATCAAATTAACTCCTTAAGTCATGTTATAATGTAGTTTCCTCATCAAAAACAGACCTGGAGTTGTGTTTTGTTTCCTTCACACATGTTTGTTTAACTCTTTATTATTAGTCAGTACATCTCCAAAGCTGAAAATGTTCTGTTCCACCTTGTGATGTCATGAAGCTGTAGTTTATTTTTAAGTTATCAGCTCAGTTTTACCTTTGGGTCCGGTCAAGTGTTAACGGAGGGAAACAGGCAGATTTTTTATATTCAAATGTCTCTTATTCAGAAACTAGAGGAACTATTGAAATAAGTAAAGTATCAGAATGTAGGAAAGAGTTACACTCCAACAGGGTCAAGTTAAACCTGTGAGATTCTTTCAAGTTGTTGACAAATAATTTAAAAACTCATGTCGGTAACGGAGGGAATGAAATATGCAGCACTTTTTGGTCAATAAATCCAAACAGTGATAACTCTTGGTTCTCACTTACATATCCTTAACAAACTGGTTTGAATATTTGCTTCATATAGTTTTCTACCATATGGTACAAGATTAGGTTGAAAAACCTCTGACTTTTTGACTCATGAGATTTTTTATTAAGAAAGTTCATGGTAACGGAGGGAAAAGTAACGGAGGGAAAATTGTACAAACAAGTAGAAGGTGCAGGATTTTACATCATTTGTTGTTTTTTTTCTTCCAAATACTTTAATATTACTTCAGAATGAAAGGAAACTATTTCTATAAAATATGTCAGTCCTTCCAAGCAAATTTTTATCATTTTAAATACATTATTTTTTTAAATGATGTACCTTCATCAACAGTTCAAAGATGGAATAACACAAGATATGATGAAATACATCCATTTATTTACATGATTTTTGGGTCTTTGAAATTTGGGAAATAATTTTTGTTCCATGTTTCATACATGGTCTGTTTAAAACATATGGAACTTTAGAACCAAAAATGGTACAGAAAAAAGGTCAACAGTTTCATAAACTAGAGTACATATGTATCTGTTCAATACATTTTTATATCAGATGAATTAACTTGAATTTTTGTTCTTGCTGTTTACTTCTGCTTGACTAGGCTCCTTTAGGCAATTCCAGGGCTGAAGTTATGATCCAAATGATTCTAGTGAAGGTGTGTGGAGTTTAAAATCACAGTGGAGCACTTCATTACCACATGACATCACAAGGTGCAACAGGGTGTTTCCAGTTTGAGAGAAGAACTCAGCCTAAACATGCAGTTAAACATGTGTGAATAAAACAAAAAAAAACACAACTCCAGGTCTGTTTGTGACGAGAAAATGACTTTATAGCCCTTTAATAAATTCTTATAAATCCATATTAACAGCGTTTTACTTCAAATTTAAATTTTTTATTCGACGCATTGAGAATAAAACATGAATCCGTAAACAGCGAAAGCCCCTAAAATCCAGCGCGGCCAAACCACAGTGCGTCATGTTCCTCCGAGAGTCCCGCTCACCGAGAGTTTTCACCTTGACTTGAGTTTAAAGCGTTTACTCGGCACAAAGCTGTCAGCGGCGATTACACTGTGACGGTGAACAGACACACACACACACACTTTGGACACACACACGCACAGGACCGGGGCTGGACTGTGTATCGCAAATCACTCAAAAGTCGTAATTTGACTTGGCAAAATTATCAAATCGCAAAGACTGAAGTTATTTTAATAGAAAGTTCTCCGCAAAAACACCCAATATCCTGTCATTTAGACCTGATTTGTCATAAAATTTCTTGCATTCTGTAACTTTTTGTTGAGATCGTTGCTATGGATATGTCCTTGGAACGTCCCGCAGTGCGACATTAAACAGCTCTACTTTACATTTATCTTACATTTATTAAATTACAGCTCGAAAACGTCTACAAAAAATAGACGTTCTGACCGTAAGTGGCGTCGCCTCTCCACAGATCTGACCTGTGTCTTGGTAGATAGAAAGGTTTAATGCCATACTGTGAAACATTCCAGGCAAAGCAATAACATCTCGATGGAGAAAAGCGTTTGACAGACTCTCGATACCACAATGATAATTTAAAAAAAAAAAAGTTAAATAGATAAAAATGCTCCTTTTTAGACAGTATAATGTGATTTTCAATACAAAATGATAGTAATTTCTTTGTGTTTTTTACTTTTTGTGTTCAAATGGGTCACTTTTATTTTTTTTACTGTTTGTGTATTTTTATTTATTTATTTTTTGATAACTTAAATAAGTATCTACTTTTAATACTAGTTTTGACATTGATTAGTTTGGCTGGGTATCATTAAGAAGTTTCCGATATGATACATACCTCGATACAGTGCAATTTCAGTTCGATTCGATATGGTTCAATAAAAAATAAAGTCTAAATCATGTCTGTGACACTAAAAGTCTTATTGTGCAAAGTTCATATGAAACACAAAAATTTTAATCATCAAAACAGTGAAAATGTCAAATTTGTCGCATAAACGAGTTTCCTTCCTCTGAACAAACAACAAAACTGTAGCTGTGACAAAATAATTTTGTGAAATAAACCAAAAAATACACTGTAAACCTGAAAAATTAAGCAGTAATAAAAAAATAATAATAATTGAGCTAAGTTTGTAGTCTTGTTTTTAATTAATGTAAATAAAAATGAAGTAAAAGAAAAATGAGTAAGTATCACATATAATGTTTAATTAAGTTCAGTATATATAAAAAAAATACATTAATACAAAATAATAATAAATAATAATAATAATTTCACATTCTTTAAAATATCTTATTAAGTTTTTTTTTTTTTTTTTTTTTATACTAAAGTAAAAAAAAATCTTTAAAAATGTTAGGCAACCATTTAGCTAAATAATTTTAATTTTATTTTAATTTAACATTTAGTTTTTTTTTGTTTTTTTTTTTAAAACAAATATGTATTTTCCACGCTTAATAAACACTGAAAAACATTTTAAATTTCAAATGTTTTTATTCTTTGCTGACAAAATACAAATGCAAAAATAGATTTAATCCGTTTGGCGATATATCGATACAGCAGCCCACGATATCGATACTGTATCATCACTTTAAACAATACGATATATCGATATTTCAATATTTTTGCACAGCCCTATCGATTAGTATCTGATTTTCAATACTGACAACCTTAACATGTTCTGATCTCTGCACTCTGATCACAATCGCAAAAACACCCAAAACCTGCATTTATCTTATTTGAACAGTATTTTTAAAAGTTGTATGTCCTTGTTTTGTTTCGTTTCAGTAAATCGAAGCCGCCTCCGCAGATCTCGCCCAGTAAGTCGAGTGGAGGAGAGTTCTGTGTGGCCGCGCTCTTCGCCTCCTCCAGGTCCTGGTTCCTGTCAAACCCCAACATCAAGAGGGAGAAAGGTGAGGCGCACGGGCCGACGCTCATTCCTCTGTCCTCCTCGCTTTAACAAAAACACCTCCATCACTTCAGTTCAGAGGGACTTTTTTTGTCTGTAACCTTTTCCCATCATCCACCTTTCTGCAGTGTCGGGGAGTAACAGATTACATGTACCAGAGTTACGTAATCAGAGTACAAATGATGAGTAACTGTATTCGGTTACAGTTACTGTGAAATAAATGGACTAAAACAGGTCTAAAACCACCCAGTCTAAACCAGATCTAAACCAGATCTAAACCAGGTCTTAAACCAGGTCCAAACCAGGACTAAACCAGTTCTAAACCAGGTCTCAAACCAGATTTGACACCAGGTCTAATACCAGGTGTAAAACCAGGTCTAAACCAGGTCTAAAACCAGGTCTAAACCAGGTCTAAAACCAGGTCTAAACCAGGTCTAAACCAGGTCTCTAAAACCAGTTCTAAACCAGGTCTAAAACCAGGTCTAAACCAGGTCTAAAACCAGGTCTAAAACCAGGTCTAAAACCAGGTCTAAACCAGGTCTAAAAACCAGGTCTAAACCAGGTCTAAAACTAGGTCCAGGTCTAAACCAGTTCTAAACCAGGTCTAAACCAGGTCTAAATCTAAACCAGGTCTAAACCAGTTCTAAACCAGGTCTAAACCTGGTCTAGAACCAGGTCTGAACCAGGTCTAAAACAAGGTCTAAACCAGGTCTAAAACCAGGTCTAAAATTAGGTCTAAACCAGGTCTAAACCAGGACTAAAACCAGGTCTAAACCAGGTCTAAACCAAGACTAAACCAGGACTAAATCCCTCCCGTGTAACAACTGAAAAAGTGGACCTGGTCAAACAGAACAAAATGATGCGGCACCGGACGAAGCCCGTACGAGGCCGCAGACGCCGACGCCGACATCACTCACCTAAAGGAATAAAGACGTCCCCAAAACTAACCTGGTTCATGTTTGTAGTGGTTGTATTTTCTCATTTTATTTTCACATTTTGTCGTGTCTGTTTGTAGTTTAGAGTTTTACTTCCTGTCTTGATTGTTTTTCCCGCCCTGATGTGTTTCACCTGTGTCTGTGTTTCTCCTCTGCCCTTTGTTGGTCCATTGTCTCTGTCAGAGTCTCTTCTTGTCTCATGTCATGACAGTTTAGTTTCCAGTTTTGGATTTTTTTGGATTTATTATGAAATGCTTTAAAGCCGTCCTGCATTTTGGGTCGTCTCTCTGTTTTCTACATGAGCGCAGGAGCAAGAGAACTGCGGCCTATTCATACCCGAACCAACCGCGCCGCAAAACAGACATAAATATAAAAATCCACTTGAACAAAAGCACGTAACACGCTGCACCAGATCGTTCCGTCTCTGGAGCCGTTTTCCATCGGATTAGTTTGGACGAACACTGCATCCACAACGAAAACGACTCTAATACGAACAAGTGTGGACCCTTTAGTCGAAAAATATGGTACTAAAAATGAACGAGATTATAATTTAGACTAGGGTGACCAAACGTCTGTTTTTCCCCGGACATATCTGTATTTTGCGTCCTGTCCTGGGCGTCCGTTTTTTTTTTTTTTTTCCAGTGATGGAAATGTCCGGGTTTTCAGTACCGTTCATTGAAACTGAGCGTCTCTCGTCGCGTCTGTGACTCAGAAGGAGCGAGACACAAACAGTCGGTCAGTCTGCAACATACAGGTGAGAGTACAGCGTTCCCTCGTTTATCACAGGGGTTAAGTTCTAAATTACTCATTACCTGCGATAGGTGAAATCTGCAAAGTATCAACTTTATATTTTGCAATTATTCTATCTGTTTTAAGGCTGTAAAACCTCTCAGCACAAACTTTATACACTTTTCTCACACAGGACACTTACAACACTTTTTACTTCCTTCTTAAAACTTGTTGCTGCTGTCGTCCTTTTGTTATTTTCCTCCTTCTTTATGTAACGAACCCAAGATTCATTTATTCCGTAATGGAGTCCAACAGCGCAGAGTCCTGCACGGGTCCATTTTTGGAGACTCGCACCCGCCCGTTAACCCGAGATTATATCAAGCTTTTGCGCTGCCTACGCCACAGACTGAACTAAGACTTAGGTTAGGTTAGGTTAGGTTGCTTTATTCGTACCCGTAGGTAAATTTGCTTTGCAGATTTAAGAGACAGGTTCCACATTTCACATTTCATTCATCCACAAAACACACATAAAAACACGATAAAATGTTACAATAAAGTGTTACAGTGCTCCAGTGCAGAATGGTTTGTTCCATAAACAACCAATTAAAATCATCCAACACACTTGTCTAAAATCACAATAAATAAATCTTAAATATGTTAAAAACGCACAATCTTAAATAAATAGATTACAATTTATTCAAAAGTATGATAGCAGCCGGAATGAAGCTCCTCTTAAAACGATTCGTTCTAGATCTTGGGACTAAAAACCTCTGACCAGAGGGAAGCAGCTGAAACTCTGAGTTTAGTGGATGTTGCACGTCTCCCAAAATCCTCTGGGACGTCGTCTGTAAGTGTCTCGAGTACAGAGAGTCCAGCGGCTCTGAGGATGAACAATCACCTCACTCGCCCATTTAACCAACTGATTCAGGGAGTTCTTGTTTTTAGCAGAAATGCTCCCAAACCACGAGACCAATGAAAATGTTAAAACTGATTCCATAAACCAGGACTGAACTGTGGGAAATATTATGTGTTGGTCATGCTAATTCACCTAATATTATGGACTTTGGAATGACATTGGAAAACACTATATCTATAGGTCTATATAACATGTTTTTTCTGGACTTTGAGTGCCACGAAGCAGAAAAACTGACATATGTGGACCCCGTGGCATGTTCCCACCCATGATAAGGTGCACTGGGTCAGCAGTATTGTTCATTTTCTTGCTGTATATGCTAAATCAACAAGTTAATGTTTTGTCAAGATGTAGTATAAAGCTACCCCTGATTTTGAGTTGGTCAGAGACGTCGTTCCGGGGTGACAGTTGTACTTGGACACGCATTGAACCTTCCGAAAAAACCCACAGAACCAACACTAAAACAGGACTAAACCAGAACTGAAACAGGACTCAGTTTCGGGACGGGCTCGGAGGTGACGCAGGAGAAAGGACCGGCTCAGCTCCGCACCTCACGGAGGTTAAACGCGGCAGTCGCCCGATCGCGCTTTGCGGACAAACTGCTCGGCGTTTTCTCTCTTAAGTCCAAGATTAGTCCTGGTTTAGACCCGGTTTAGTCCTGACCCACCCGTGTGTAAAGAAAACAACCAAAAAAAACACATGCAAAATTGATACACACACACACACACACAAAAAAAAATCTGCGAAATGGCGAGACCGCGAAAGATGAACCGTGATATAGCGAGGGACAACTATAGGCCCCACCTCCCACCCCCGGGAAGGTGTCCGGGTTTTCACAAATGGAAATATGGTCACCCTAATTTAGACTCTCTTTTTTTTCTTATTTAGCTGCTTTTACCAAACAATTTCTGATGTAAAGATCATTTACTTTGACGAGAATGAATTAAAATCAGGTTCAGAATTTTTAACGTTTTCCAATTCCTAAAACGTTTCCTGCGTTCTGTCATTTCAGACCAGTCCAGGCAGTCGGTGGTCGACTCTCTCTACATCCTCAGCTGCTACGGAAACTTGGTGGAGCATGTCCTGGAGCCCCGCCCCCTCGCCACGGCCGCCAAGATCAGCGACGACACGCCCCTGGAGCTGAGCACCTGCCCCCGAGCCTGCTGGACCCTCACCAGGTACTGAATCCTGTCAGGGGAGGAGGGCGTGGGCTAGACTCCTGATCTCTGTGGGTTTGTGGAGTGTGCATGTCCTTAAACGTGCTGATTTTTACTTCAAAACCTTTAAAAACTTGAAAAAATCAGAGCTAGAAGTGTCCAGAGTTCTTCCTCTCTTACCTTACACATTCAGACGTCCTAATTCTTCAAGTTTTTAAGCACTTTTCACAATTTTCAGACACCAGAGCAGAGTTTTATGACCATTCTCACGATCCTAACAACAACTAGCATGCTAACAGTGCACCTGCAGCATTACTTCCTGATTCGCGGACCATAAAAGGCTTTATAATTAGATGCAGACAGCACACAGAGGACTTATTTTGACCTCAAGAGCAGCTTGTACAAAATATCTGAGTTTGACTTCTTGTAAATAGCTGAGATTTTTAAAAAGTTTTTATTATTATTATAAAACTGAACTAGGACTAAACCAGGTCTGGGACCAGACTGGGACTGAGACCGGGACCAGGACCGGGATTGGGACTAGACCAGAACTGAGACTGGGACTGACACCGGGATCAGACCAGGACTGAAAACGGTTTAGTCCTGTTTTAGTCCTGTTTCAGAAAAAAACAAATCATTATCCGTTTTTTCATTTTAGTTTTGGAGACAAATAATGAAGAAAACTGTTGTTTTTTTGTGTTCTTATTTTTGGTTTTATATTGAAAAACAAATGAACGAACGACACACAGATTCTGCAGCTTCACCTCGATTCGTGCGCTGTGTAGATGTAAACAAACATGTGAGGAACTACTCCCACCTTTTTACTTTTAAAGAACGACTCAAACTGGATTCACAGAGCCGTTTTGTGGGGGTCCCCACCCCCGATAAGGTGTTCTGGTGGGACCTCGACATGGAGCTACTCTCACCTCACTACCTGAGCACATGGCCTCCCACTTGTCTCGACCAGGACGAAAAACGGCAAATTTCTTGTCCAAGTCATTGTTAAATGCGCATTTGCACTTCGGCATGTTGCTGACTGACTGATTGTTTGTGTCTCGCTCCTTCTGAGTCACAGAGAGCGACGAGTCAATTTAATGGCCCCAATGAAAGATCATGAAAACCCGGACATTTCCATCACTTTATGAAAAAAAACCCGGACGCCAAAAAACGGACATGTCCGGGGGAAAATGGACGTTTGGTCACCCTATTGTACCGTATACAATATGACAGAGCAGCTCAGAGTCACACTGACACACACACACACACACACACACACACACACACACACACACACACACACACACACACACACACACACACACGGAGCATAGGCTTCAAAATCACGCACGAGGACACAAAGTCGGGTCACGCTTCCCCGAACTCGCAGCCAAAATCTGGCAAATTTTCCTGTAGCCTGTAGTGGCCTTAAGTCTAAGTTTAAGTCTAAGTTAGTTTTTTTTATATACTTTTTCAGGACTCCACAGTGCAACGCAGGTGACAGACCTGGTCCAGTACTTGGTGTGAGTACTCCTGAAGACACGAGACACACAAACGAGAGAGTCCACGAGATTTTTGACATTTACATTTTTCTTTTTAAGACGTTGCTAAATAGTCCGATTTAGTTCTTGTTTTCCAAAGTTGGTCCGAGATTTCCAGACTTTTTTTATTTACTGAATTTTTTATTTATACTTTTTTTTCGTCTTTAATCTTGTTTTGTCCAATCCAAAGGGGGAAAAAATCTTCTTCTTGTGGAGTTTTTGTCTCACGAGATCTTGAAGCACGAGATATTTTCCCGTCCCTAGTTGGTTGATGTTACTTTCAAAAACTCCAGTCGTTGTTCTGATTCGATCGCATTTAAAGCTGCATTGTGTAACTTTTTGGGTGGAGAGTCTGGTCCATGTTTCAAAATATGGCATTAAACATTTATATCTTCATGGAGACCAAAACCAGACCAAGTTACAGCTCAGAATCTGTTTTTCTAGATATTTTTGAGCTTTAAACCCACCTGTAATTGAATAAACGTAAAGTAGAGCTGTTTATCCTTTGAAACAAGCAGGTGACGGACCCTCCACCACCAGAAAAGTTACACAATGCAGCTTTAAAGCCTGCCCACATGCTTCCACAGTCAACACAAACACGAACCACGCTGAGCTTTATTTGAAATTCCATATGTCTTTTATTCCCACACGAACTGAAGCTGAGGCGCTGTGGCCTTTTAGAGCCGGGCCCTTGTGTGTTGTGTTTAGTTGGAGTTGTATTGTGTTGTGGAGCGTTGTATTGATTTGATTGCCTCTATACGGTGCCTTTAAACTCCCCCCCCCGCTGTCTTCAGTCTTGTATGTTTCGTCTTATGGACTTCTGCTCGATTAAACAGGCTCCTGAACTCTAATACCCCGGAGTCTAAACTGTATGTACTGCGCTTTAAGTTAAAATGACTTACAAATATATCTAAAGTATCTTGGTTTGAGTAAGTTTGACTAATATGGACCTTTTTTTGTGTGTAGTTGAATTTTCAGATGTTTAAAATTAATTAATTTATTTTAAACAGGCTCCTGAACCCTAATACCCCACTGCGAGTGTGTATATGCATTAGGATAAAAGTTAAAATGACATCAAGTATACATTTTCTCTTGATTTGAGTCATTTAGACTAATATAGACCATTTTTTTTTTGGTTTGTAGTTGGATTTTTTAAATATATTTTGGACTTTTTTTAATTTAAATTTTATTTTATTATTTAATTTAATGTCATTTTTAATGTATTTAAAAAAAATTTAAATATAATTTTAATTATGTTTTATTTCATTTTATTTTATTTTTAAAAATATATTTTGGGCTTTTAAGTTTTATTTTATTATTAAATTTAATTGAATATTTAATTTTCACTTTAATTGTATTTTTTATTTATTTATTTATTTTTTATTTAATTTTCTTTTAGTTTAGTTTAAGAGTGAGGGGATTATTTTAATTTAAAGTGTCCATGAAGTACAACATTTATCTTTTGAAGACATGCAAAATTAGAGCTCTGAGTGCATTATTTATAAAAAATAAACAAATACATACAGTTGCTTCAAAAAGAGCAGATATCTAAACATTTAACTCAATTTAATTTGATATTTCTACACTTTTGCACTTTTTTTTTTTTTTTTTTTTTAACCTTTAACCTCAACCACAACATGAACACTGCAAAGAGATTTTCAAAACTTATATCAGATTATTCATCTTGTTTTCAGATTTATTATCGACTTATTAGTTCTGAGACTGGGTAATTCTATGATACGATATTTATTACGATATTTTGGATCAGCTAATATCATTGTAGATGTGACACTTTTTTGCTTTTAAAATACCTTGAAAAGATTTTGGTGTGAATCCCAAGAATTCAACTAAAAACATATTTCTTCATGTTGTCTGCGCTGAAATGAATCATGGGAAATGTAGTTCCTGATGTTTGTAAACTGTTGCTTCTATAAAACCTGCATTTAAACAAAGGAACTTGTAAATCGATGTATTGTGACACCCCACGATGTTATTGTGAGACTTTTGGCGATACGATATCACGATATTTCGAGTTAAATTCGTCGTGGAGCTTTTGTATCACCAGTTTGTGCACATTTCTTTTTAGCGAGGCCACCGTAGTCTTATTTTTTATTGGAAAACACTGGTTCTGACCCTGTCCCCTCAACTCTGTGTGTGTGTATATTTGTGTGTGTGTGTTGTTGTGACCCCTCTGTGTGTGTTTGTGTGTGTCAGTGTGTGTGTCGTGTCCTGTCTGAAAGCCTGTGTTTCTGCTGTTATTGGTGCCACATGCTGAGTTGGGACCTCTCCCTGTGTGCGTGTACGATTGTGTTTACGTGTGTGTGTGTTTTGTGTGTTTGTGTGTGTGTTTTGTGTGTGTGTGTGTGTGCGTTTGTGGTCTTATTGGTGCCACATGCCGAGCGGGGTCCTGTGCTCCTGGACTCACTGTTTCCTCAGATACACAGATACTGTCCTAACTGTTCTGGTTCATATCCTCCGAGGGAAACTCTGCTCCCTCTATTTACATTTTTAGTCGAAGAAACGCTCTTACATTCCCTGTTCGTAGCAGAGCAAAGTAACATGTCGATAATGTAAGGTTTATTTAACGTCTACTTGCACCACCCAAAGCTCTGGACATACACAAACACTCTGGGTCATGCACAAATACTGAAAAAATTAGCAAATGCCAGAGGTGACTTGACTTGACTTGATAAAATGGACTAAGGTTACGTTTATATGATGACGGTCTGAACAGAAGACGCAAAAGTGGCATCGCGTCTTCACTTTTTATTTCGCGTTTAGACGAGCGTTTTCGGGAGGAAATCTGCGTGCATACGGTGACGTAAAAGTGTGTACGGCGGAGCGTATTCAACTTCTCCACTCTGGAGGGTGGTTTCAGATTTTTGCGTTTTTAAGCCCCAAAAACGCCGTCACCGTCTAAACGAAAGACACTTCCGATAAAGTAATTTGTCATTTTTACCCACAAGCGTTCTCGTGTAAACAGGCCCTAAGAGGTTGGGACTCGACTTGGACTTGAAGGTCAGTGACTTGGGACTTGAATCAAACTTGATGCTTCTGCTAAAAAATATGCTTTTATAAAATTACTTTTCTCTTTACAGTTGATAAATGCGGTTCTGAGTTTTACAAGAACAAACTGGAACATGTCCCTCCCACTTCTGTTTGTTACTCTGGATGAAACTGAAGTACTGTGATACTCAAATGTACTACAGTAATATACAGTACAATACAATAAAACAGAGGGAACTACATAGAAACTGATATTAAGCGCTTTTAAATCTTAATTCTTTCTGTGTTTAAAAAGGAAAATACTAATATATAAAGATACCACGACTTTTTAAGTACAATTTAGTTTAAAAATCATATAAATTGCAAAAATTTGGTTTAAAAACAGATAATACTCCCTACAACTGCACAACAACTCAGCCTTACGTAGCAGATAATAATCCCTACAACTGTCCAACAACTCACCCTGATGTAACAAATACTCCCTTTTTAACTTTTTAAGTACAATTTTGTTTAAAAAATCATATAAATTGCAGAAATCTGGTTTAAAAAATTCAAATAACTTGAAGCTCAAAGCAGCCGACTTGGACTTGACTTGGACTTATGGGCCAGTGACTCGAGACTCGACTTGGACTTGCCTGTATTTGAATTGAGACTTGACTCAGACTTGAGGTTAAAGACTTGAGATTTACTTGAAACTTGCAAAAGAACAAAAACTAAAAAAAACCAAACCAGTGATGCTGTGCTTAATATATTGTGTTCTTTTATTTTGAAATTCCCAAGTCTACAAATATAAAATAGGATTGTACAAAATCATAATTGTCTTTGTAATTTAAGCGAGGTTCTTTACACACTGGCTCTTTCATAAACATTTTCAAACACACTGACTTATTTAAAGGCCCCGTATTACGCGAAATTGTCTCTTGTGAGCTTTTAGTCGTGTTATAATGTCGTTCCCGCCTTAAAAACAGACCTGGAGTTGTGTTTTGTTTCATTCACACATGTTTAAGTAACCCTGGAAGCGGTCGTGAAGCTGTAATTTACAAGTTAACAGCTACCTTTACCAGTAGACATCGGAAATTCCAGGTCTAAAATCATCCAAATGATTCTAGTGAAGGTGTGTGGAGTTTAAAAACACAGCGGGGGCACTTCCTGGAGTTCTTAGGTCTTAGTTTTGCTTTTGTTTACGGTCGCACAAGCAAATAATTATGATAAAGAAGCACAAAACCTATCAAAATTAAAGGTAATGTTTTGTTATGTTGGTAAAAAACCTTTGTCAGATCATTTTTCTTGCTTTGGACCAGAGTACACAAAATGGTTGCCAGCCCAGATGCTCAGCTCCCACAGTGAGGTCACCCAGTGAGATCAGCCACTCTACAACAACAAACAAGGCTCGTCCTGTATCACCACATGACATCACAAGGTGGATTTCAGAGTGTTTTCAGTCTGAGAGAAAAACTCAGGCCTAAATCTGCAGGGTTTGTGTGTTAAACATGTGTGAATGAAACAAAAAAACACAACTCCAGGAATCCGTGTGTCATTCGTTCATTCGTTTTTCAATATAAAACCAAAAATAAGAAAACGAAAAAACAACAGTTTTCTTTGTTATTTGTCTCCAAAATCAAAAATGAAAAAACGAATAATGATTAGTTTTTTTAGTTTTCGATTTTGTGTTTAAATGAAGAATGGAAAAAACGGATAACGACCGTTTCCCGTTTACGTGACTTCCATGACTGCGATGCCGGACTTTTGCACTGCGTACGGACTGAACCAGGACTGATCCAGGTCCGGTATCAGAGCGGGACCAGAGTGGACTCCAAGCCTCAGCTTCGAGCTCCGGCCCTGCTGTGGGCTCTGAGCCTCTGGTCGCGGTCTCAGTCTCGGTCTGGTCCCGGTTTCAGTTCTAATCTCAGTCTTGGTCTGGTCCCGCTCTGGTCTCGGTCTGGTCTCGGTCTTAGTCCTGCTCTGGTCCCGGACCTGGATCAGTCCTGGTTCAGTCCGTACGCGGTGCAAATGTCCGGCATCACAGTCAACTGAAAAAGCGAATCCTTATCTGTTTTGTCATTTTGGTTTTGGAGACAAATAATGAAGAAAACAGCTGTTTTTTTTTTTCATTTTCTTATCTTTGGTTTTATATTGAAAAACGAATGAACGAATGATACACGGATTTCCAGATCTTAACAAAATGCTGCCTGTACTGAAAAATGTAAACGTGGGCAAGGTACAAACCCAAGGAACACTGACTGAAGATATTAAAAGTTCTTTATTACATGGAGAGACGCCAACGAGTTTCGACCAGCGGGATGGTCTTCGTCTAGTCTGATTCATCAGCCGGTTTCATTTTGTAGAAACCGTCTGACCTCGCAGCATTAGAATTCCTTCGCTCGACAGTAGGCGGGTACTTTTTTTATTTAACCAGTTGCTGCTGTTTGGTCGTGACGTATGTAATGCACCAAATCCCGTAGGAAGAAGGACAATAACGTCTTTCCCCTTGATAAAATTCACCAAACATTCTCTTTGTTCCGGCTTTAAATCCTCGATCTCGGGAATCGTTGCCAACACAGAATGTCCGGCTCTTCGCTGATTGGCTGGTGCCCGAACTCGCACTTACAGCGTTTTTGTGAACCGTCTAGTGTGTTCTAATTCCTGACCTAGTCGCTGGAGAAAAATGAAATGCATTTTGAGTGGTTGGTTTGGACCAACTGTCTCTGGTTTGGACCCGAGTTTGCGTTCACACTAGTGATGGGCATGATTAGTCAATTAATCGATAATTGATCATTAAGAATCTCGTTGATTATGTTCATTTTTAATCGACAAATCGAATGTAGGTCGCTGTGCGTAGCGGCTATTGGGTGATCAAACATCCGTTTTTCACGTCCTGTCCTGACCGTCTGGGGTTTTTTTTTCTATAAAGTGATGCAAATGTCTGGGTTTTCATGATCTTTCACTGGGCCATTAAACTGAGCGGCTCTCGTAGCTCTCTGTGCAGTGCATTTAGAATAGTTGGTTTGGACCGACTGTCTCTGGTTTGGACCTGAGATTGAGTTCACACGAAAGCGACCAGAGTTTGGCATTTGGTGTGGAGTCAAGTGGACCGAGACCACCTCTTTTTTTAGGTCTCGGTCCACTTGATTTAGTGCGGAACCGAGTGTGAGTGAACCTTTCACACCAACCAAAACGAACTGACATAAGAGCTTCTGGTTCGAATGGAGGCTGTCGGTGTGAAAAACCTTTTAAGGGCCCATCTCATATAAAATAACTCTTTTCACATTGTATCACAACATAAACAAGCACAATTTGGGTTTTGGAACATCCATTTCACAATAGTTATGAAAACTTACTGATTTCTTGGAGAGAGTCACAGACCAGGAACTATGAAAGTCCGACTATTGCTCCTCCCCCCGCCCGTCCTGAGAAAGCACAGGCTCCGCCCTCCAAACGTGACGTAGGCTCTGAGTGAGCCGCCCTTCCTCCGCCATCTCAGGGAGGGAGGGGGACACAGACGTGCACCTTGCTATGATTCCCGATATGGGGCGGCAGTAGCTCAGTTGGTAGAGCGTTTGTCCACTGATCTGAAGGTTGGCGGTTCAAATCCCACTCTTCATATAAACATCATTGGTTGAGCGGTCAGATCCACTGTAGTTGCTGGTGTGATTCCAGCTCCCACAGATGAATGCTGCCGTTGTGTCCTTGCGCAAGACACCTTGCCCCTAGTGTCTGTGTACACTGGTGTGTGAATGGGTGAGTGGTTCCTTGTTGTAAAGCGCTTTGAGCCTTGAAGGTGGAAAAGCGCTATAGAAAAACTTTTATTCATCATGGAGATACAGCGCGTTGAGCCGCATGTGTTGGACCCGGAATCGGACGAGGACTTTGAGGAGCACGAAGCTCAAGCACCGAGTCCACATCAGCTGAACATTACTGATTGATAAAGTATTAATAAACACTAGGAGATAAACTTATTATATCGTGTTCACTGCAGTGTAGAACAATTACAAATTTTGTTTAGGTGTTGATGTGGAACAGAGGCAATGGAGCGGGGGAGGAGGGCGGGTAAGCGTTTTCTGCTACATCAAACGTGTTATAGGTGTATCTGCCGCGTCGTCTTTGTAGCAGCTTTAGTTCGTTGTCACGTGGGAGGGTGGTAGAAATACGCTGCAATTTGTTAAAAAAATGCTCAATCAATCTAAAAACCACTTTGGCGACAAATACAAGGCCCATACGTCACTCTTAGAAGGTAGAAAGCTCTGAAAAGTTGATTTTGCACGACATGGGCCCTTTAATATCCCGGATTTGTGCGTTAAACTTGCGCGAACGGAACAAAACACAACTCCAGGTCTGTTTGCGACGAGGAAACGCGAGAACAGCTCAGAAAACAGCGCCCGTGTTTATTTTTACCTCTTCCTTTCGCTGTTTTCTACACACACTGGGCTCACAGAATCGTAGGTGGCAGCTGAATAACAAATTCCCCGAACCTGGAGGCGAAATGGCAGCCGGACAAAATTCCTTGTTTTGACCTCACTTTGCTTCACACTCCAGCGCTCCGACAGAGAGAGAGAGAGAGAGGGACACAACCGTCGTATTTCTAATTGGACATTAATGTAAACGCCCCCCCCTTCTGATTACGCGCCCGGATCCGCAGAGCCGGCGCACGAATCGTTGGTGTTCTTGTCACCGCGGCAACCCTCATCGCTCTGACACTCCGCGAGGTCGTTAGCGCTAATTTGAGAGCAGATTTCCTACCAGTTAGACCCAGGGCGGCGCGGAATCGTGGGCGGGGAGCTCAGCGTAAACATCGCGTTCGCCGGGAGCGTTTTTGGTGGAGCTAATTACATATTTGAGTTTGGTAATGAGACGATGTGGGCCCGGAGTCCAGATCGGTTCAGTGTGTGGCCGTCCGTAGGCTCAGGCGCTTTTCGGAAGAGATTCAAAGCTTCGGTTGCACTTGTTTTTGATTGAATTAGAGGGAGTTTTGGGTGTCAGCTAATTGGTCCGGAGTGCGAGCGTGTCCCGGGGCACAAACAGTGCGGCTGGATACGGGAAAGACACAGAGAGAGTCTTTATGTGTCGAGAGCAGAGGTTTGGAGAAGGAGTCACTTCAGTTTAACGTTTAAATACTCAAATCTCTGTTGTTTGTTTATAAATTGTTGAAAATTCAGATAAAAAAGGGGATAAAATAACTCTGAGCAGTGCAAGGACTAAATCTAAGTCTAAAGTAGGTCTAAACCAGGACTAAAATCAGGACTAAACCAGAACTAAACCAGGAATAAACTAGGATGAAAATCAGGACTAAAACCAGGACTAAAACAGGTCGAAACCAGGATTAAAACCAGGACTAAATCTAGGTCTAAACCAGGACTAAAATCAGGACTAACCAGAACTAAACCAGAACTAACACCAGTTCTAAATCAGGACTAAACCAGGACTAAACTAGGATGAAATTCAGGACTAAACCAGGTCTAAACCAGCACTGAACCAGGACTAAAATCTGAACTAAAACCAGTTCTAAACCAGGACTAAAATCAGGACTAAAACCAGGTCTAAACCAGGACTAAATGTAGGTCTAAAGTAGATCTAAACCAAGTCTAAACCAGAACTAAAACCAGGACTAAACCATGACTAAAATCAGGACAAAAACCAGGTCTAAACCAGAATGAAAATCAGGTCTAAACCAGGTTTAAACCATGTGTAAACCAGGACTAAACCAGGACTAAACCAGGTCTAAAATCAGGACTAAAACCAGGTCTCAGTCAAAGGTTTAGAATCAGGACTAAAACCAAGTCCGAGTCAAATCCCAAGTCAAACACAGGCAAGTCCAGATCGAGTCTCGAGTCACTGACCCATAAGTCCAAGTCGAGTCCAAGTCGTCTGCTTTGAGCTTCAAGTCATTTCAAGTCTTTAAACCAAAGTTTAAAGACTTTGGTTTAAAGACTTGACCTTTTTTTGAGATTTATATGAATTTTAAGCTCCTTATAAAGTCATGGTATATTTATATATCAGTATTTATATAAGAGTTGTAGAAATGCATTTTTTCCCTTTTTAAATGTCTTCAAAGATCTTAGTGTGAATCATTAGGATCAGAAAAGAAAGAATTCAGATGTAAAAGTGTTTAATATCAGTTATTTTGTCGTGTGTTTGCACTGAAATGGAAGGATCATGTTCTCTGTACTTCCCTCTGTTTTACTGCATTGTACTGTGCATTACTGCATATTACTGTAGTACTTTTGAGTATCACAATACTTCAGTTACATCCAAAGTAACAGAAGTGGGAAGGACATGTTCCAGTTTGTTCCTGTAAAATTAAACACTGCATTTATCAACTGTAAAGTGAAAAGTATTTTATCAAAACATATATTTTAGAAGAAGCAGAAGTCTCCTTAAGTCCAGCTCAAGTCCCAAGTCACTGACCTTCAAGTCCAAGTCGAGTCCCAAGTCTTAGTCTATTTTATCTGGTCCAGCTCAAGTCCCAATAGTGACTCAAGTCTGACTCAGGTCAAAATCACTATTTGCAAGTCCAGTCCCCACCTCTGTTCTGTTATTTACCATATCAACCTCATATGTAACGTAATCCATTAAATTACTTAAATTGAGTAACGTAATCTGAATACTTTGGATTACTTGATATTGTCTTGCTTTTTAAAACTATATGAATGTACCAACCACATCCTGAAAATTCTTGTTTGTTCTTTTCAAATTGTCTGTTGAGCCCAAGTCTCCATGAACAGACTTTTATTCACTGTAAACAAGCAAAGAGGAGGAAATGTTCACATGAGAAGTTTTATCTGCTTAAAGAAAATAAAAAGCCCAGACTTTACTGAACCGTATTAAAAATATTACTGATACCTACTGTTACGTGTCATATTGTTTAGACCTGATTTAGACCTGATTTAGTCCTGCGTTTAGACTTGGTTTTAGTCCAGGTTTAGTCCTGGTTTAGTCCTGGTTTAGACCTGGTTTAGTCCTGCGTTTAGACTTGGTTTTAGTCTTGGTTTAGTCCTGGTTTAGACCTGGTTTAGACCTGGTTTAGTCCTGGTTTAGTCCTGGTTTAGACCTGGTTTAGTCCTGCCTTTAGACTTGGTTTTAGTCTTGGTTTAGTCCTGGTTTAGACCTGGTTTAGACCTGGTTTAGTCCTGGTTTAGTCCTGGTTTAGTCCTGGTTTAGACCTGGTTTAGTCCTGCCTTTAGACTTGGTTTTAGTCTTGGTTTAGTCCTGGTTTAGACCTGGTTTAGACCTGGTTTAGTCCTGGTTTAGTCCTGGTTTAGACCTGGTTTAGTCCTGGTTTATTTAGACTTGGTTTAGACTTGGTTTAGACCTGGTTTAGACCTGGTTTAGACCTGGTTTAGTCCTGGTTTGGTCCTGGTTTAGACCTGGTTTAGTCCTGGTTTAGACCTGGTTTAGTCCTGGTTTAGACCTGGTTTAGACCTGGTTTAGTTTAGTCCTGGTTTAGACCTGGTTTAGCCCAAAATGTGAAAACAGGAAAATCCCTCTGTTTAATCCATTTATTTCAACAAAGTAACTGTAATCCAATTCCCACTCACTGAAACAGTAACTGTAACTGAATACAGTTACTCATCATTTGTACTCTGATTACATGTAATCTGTTACTCCCCAACACTGACCATTGACCATATCTGTAAGTCTTTTTAACTGACAGCAGTTGTGCCTGTGTGTTTGCGGAAAAAAAAATGCATCGAAGTCTGTGCACAGAACAGAACATATATATATAATATATATAATATATAAACCATGAACCAGGTCAAAACATCTGAAATCTGACAGTTCCTCCACCTGAGAGTCTCACCGGTCTCCAGATAAAATGTTTCTGTCCGCGGTGTCAGAGTTGAAAAGTGTGGATTAACCAATCACTGACACACATGTTCTGTCTGTGTCCAAACAAATCCGGCTGCTCACGAGGGGCAAAAAAAAGACGAGGGAAACAAAGCTTCAACACGATTGTCTGCAGAATCAGTGAGCTCTAAACTCTGTTAATCTGATGTGAGAGAAATGTGTGAAATTTGATTTTATTTGTAAATAATAAGTGACCAATGAGCTCCTTCGTTTCACATGTGCCACTGGAATAAACAAATCTGATTGGACGATCATGTTTGGTTCTGGCTCGAGATGCGACGGGCGTAATGAGAAACAGACTGAAATCACTCTGTATGAAAAATCCTCTCAGATATCAGTCTGGACTGAGCAGAGAAACTCTTCACAACATCATGTGTACAGGAGGAATCTGCACTGACATGAATCTGACTTTACACATTTAACACGGTTCAATAAATCACAATAAAACCTGATACTAAAACACAGGACGATATACTGTGATTTATCAATAATTACGCAGAATATTATGGTCGAGTATCTTCATATGAATATAGAAGTCGCAGGAAACGCCCAAACCATGAAGAAAAAATGCCACTTATAATCCAAAACATAAGGTGGTTCAATTTGAATTGGCGAATTGAACCTGTGTCATTCGTTCATTCGTTTTTCAATATGAAACCAAAAATAAGAAAACGAAAAAACAACAGTTTTCTTCATTATTTGTGTCCAAAACCAAAATGAAAAAACAGATAATGATTCGTTTTTTCAGTTTTTGATTTTGTGTTTAAATGAAAAATGGAAAAAACAGATAACAGCCGAATGCGATGGCGGATTTTTGCACTGCATACGAACTGAACCAGGACTGATCCAGGTCTGAACCAGACCGGGACTGAGACCGAGACCAGTCCGGGACCAGTCCGGGACCAGACCGAGACCAGACCGAGACCAGACCAGAACCTGAGCGGGACTGAGGCCGAAACTAGACTGGGACCAGACCGGGACTAGACTGGGACTTAGACCGAGATTGAGACCGGGACTGAGACCGGGACTGAGACCGGGACTGAGACTGAGACTGAGACCGAGACTGAGACCGGGACTGAGACTGGGACTGAGACCGAGACCAGGCCGGGACCAGACCGGAGGCTCAGAGCCCACGGCAGGGGCAGAACTCGAAGCTGAGGCTCAGAGTCAAAGCTCGGAGTCCGCTCTGGTCCTGGACCTGGTTCAGTTTGTATGCAGTGCAAAAGTCTGACATCGCAGTCACGGACGTCACGTAAACAGGAAACGCCCGTTATCCGTTTTTTTCCATTTTTCATTTAAACACAAAATGGAAAACTGAAAAAACTAATCGTTATCCGTTTTTTAAATTTTGGTTTGGAGACAAATAATGAAGAAAACTGTTGGATTGTATTGTTTCTTCTTTCAGAGTGTTTTGTGCGTGTGACAAAACGGTCTGGACGATTTCAAAAAATGATGGAACAGATTTTTTTCAAAGTTCACATTTTAAGATTTTATTTGCAGAAGAAACGATGATACTTTCAATTTCATTCCGATTGCGATTCGTCTTCCAGCCCTGCTTAAACACACACGCCCTCCCACCCCTGACCTCGCTGTACTTCCTCTGCACTTCCTCTGCGTGTTCCTCCTCCTCCTCCTCCTCCTCTTCACTCGCTCCAGGGTTTGGCTCCTCGTTCCGAATCCGATCCAGGAAAACTCATCCGCAGCTGGGTCGTACTCCGAGCGTCCTGCCCCCTCTCGCCGAAGCGCCCGGGCTCCGCGGCACCGACCAGCCGTACGGAGACGCGCGGGTTTTCGCATATGGAACTCTTATTTACATTTTAACATAACGTGAGGAGAGACGATCCGACGGCTCCGTAGCTGCGCTCCAACGACATTATAATACAGATGTTTTTATGCGGCACCGTTCTTTATGATTCGCTGCATTATTCATTCACTTAGAGCTGTTTTAGCCCGTTTTCAAACCACGAAACGAAACAAAACGTATTTAAATTTGACTTGTTCTTCGCTTTCATGAACCCTTTGGCACTTTGGCGACTGTAACGTGAATTTCCAGGCATGTGCACAGCTTAAAGGTCCGATATTACGCCAAATTTACTCTTATTGTGTTGTTACGTATTCAGAACTGGAGTTGTGTTTTGTTTCATTCACACACGTTTGAGTAACTGAGTGTGTTTACGTGCACATCAGTATCCCGGTTCTGTCAGTATTCGGGTTACTGCGTTTCCATGCGCGCTGAGACACCGGGACACTCATATCCCCGTGAACATGATCAAATGGAGTATCCCGGTTTCTTGACATAATCTTACAAATGCACAAGCGCAAAAATTTACTCAACTTAAATTAATAAACCAGGAAAAAGATGCAGTGCAGATTGTACGTGTGCTGGTTTAGCGCAGCACTTTATTTTACAGTTGTTTCACTCATGTACAAGCATTTTATTTACGTTGGTCACTTTATTTATGTCTGTCACTTTATTTATGTTGGTCACTTTATTTATGTCGGTCACTTTATTTATGTTGGTCACTTTATTTACATCGGTCACTTTATTTACGTTGGTCACTTTATTTATGTCGATCACTTTATTTGCGTTGACCACTTGATTTACGTTGGTCACTTTGTTTACGTTGGTCACTTTATTTACGTCTGTCACTTTATTTATGTGGGTCACTTTATTTATGTCGGTCACTTTATTTGTGTTGGTCACTTTATTTACATTGGTCACTTTATTTACGTTGACCACTTTATTTACATCGGTCACTTTATTTACGTTGGTCACTTTATTTATGTTGATCACTTTATTTGCGTTGATTACTTTATTTACGTTGATCACTTTATCTACGTTGATCACTTTATTTATGTCGATCACTTTATTTACATTGGTCACTTTATTTATGTCGATCACTTTATTTACGTTGATCACTTTTTTTATGTTGATCACTTTATTTATGTCGATCACTTTATTTATGTCGATCTCTTTATTTACGTCGGTCACTTTATTTACGTTGGTCACTTTATTTACGTTGATCACTTTATTTATGTTGATCACTTTATTTACGTTGATCACTTTATTTATGTCGATCACTTTATTTACGTTGGTCACTTTATTTATGTTGATCACTTTATTTACGTTGGTCACTTTATTTGTGTTTGTCACTTTATTCTTGTTGGTCACTTTATTTACGTCGGTCACTTTATTTACGTTGGTCACTTTATTTACGTTGATCACTTTATTTATGTTGATCACTTTATTTACGTTGGTCACTTTATTTACGTTGATCACTTTATCTACGTTGATCACTTTATTTATGTCGATCACTTTATTTATGTCGATCACTTTATTTACGTTGGTCACTTTATTTACGTTGATCACTTTATCTACGTTGATCACTTTTTTTATGTCGATCACTTTATTTATGTCGATCACTTTATTTATGTCGATCTCTTTATTTACGTCGGTCACTTTATTTACGTTGGTCACTTTATTTACGTTGATCACTTTATTTATGTTGATCACTTTATTTACGTTGGTCACTTTATCTACGTTGATCACTTTATTTATGTCGATCACTTTATTTACGTTGGTCACTTTATTTATGTTGATCACTTTATTTACGTTGGTCACTTTATTTACGTTGGTCACTTTATTTACGTTGGTCATTTTGTTTACGTTGATCACTTTATTTACATTGATCACTTTATTTATGTTGGTCACTTTATTTATGTTGATCACTTTATCTACGTTGGTCACTTTATTTATGTTGGTCACTTTATTTATGTCGGTCACTTTATTTATGTTAGTCACTTTATTTATGTTGATCACTTTATTTGCGTTGATCACTTTATTTATGTTGGTCACTTTATTTACATTGACCACTTTATTTATGTCGGTCACTTTATTTACGTCGGTCACTTTATTTACGTTGGTCACTTTATTTACGTTGGTCACTTTATTTACATTGGTCACTTTATTTATGTTGATCACTTTATTTGTGTTTGTCACTTTATTCTTGTTGGTCACTTTATTTACGTCGGTCACTTTATTTACGTTGGTCACAGTATCCCAGTTACTAACGGAATATACCAGCTACAGTGTCCCGGTTTCTCATAACCGGGACACTGAACCCGGGTTACTGCGTTTACATGCACCATGAAGAAACCGGGACACTCAAAAAACCCGATCAAAACCGGGACACTGATGTTCCCGTAAACACACTCACTCTTTATCATTAATCTGTCATCTCCAAATCGAGTAGTTTTCAAGTTAACGGCTCATTTTTTTTGCTTTTGTGCAATGGAGCTTTGCAATTCCAGAGCTGAAAAGTGCGTGTACCATTCGTATTTCAAGTAATAAAATGGGAAAACGGTTTGTTGTTTAATTTTTCCGTTTTAGTGTCAAACAAAAAACTGATTTTGACGTCTATTTCCAGTATTTAATTTGAAGTTTTAAAGTCATGATGGAAGAAATGAAGGTTGAATTCAGTTTTTTTGTTTGACACTAAAACGGAAAAATTATTTTGAAAAAAATTATTATTATTTTTTTTTTTTCCAGGACTAAACCAGGACTGAACCAGGACTAAACCAGAATTAAACCAGGTCTAAACCAGGACTAAACCAGGTCTAAACCAGGTCTAAACCAGGTCTAAACCGAGGACTAAGCCAGGATTGAACCAGGATTGAATCAAGACTGAACCAGGACTAAATGAGGACTAACCCAGGACTAAAACAGGACTAAACCAGGATTGAACTAGGACTAAACCAGGACTAAACTAGGACTAAACCAGGACTAAACCAGGACTAAACAAGGACTTAAACAGGTCTAAACCAGGACCAAATGAGAACTAAACCAGAACCAAATGAGGACTGAACCAGGACTAAATGAGGACTAAACCAGGACCGAATGAGGACTAACCCAGGACTAAACCAGGACTAAACCAGGACTAAACTAGAACTAAACCAGGACTAAACCAGGTCTAAACCAGGTAAAATACCAAGTAAAATATAACATGTTTTTCCCTGTAACGTCACATTACTGAGTTACAGCAAAAAGCAACACATTACAGTAATTTGTTACTTTTATAACGCGTTACTCCCAACACTGTTAATACGTACGTTGTTTTGACCAAATACAACATTTTCAAACCATTAAAGGGTAACATGTTGATCTAAACATGTTAATACTTTCATTGTTTTGCATTTTCAAACCATTAAAAGGAAACACGGTGATCTAAGCTTGTTAATACGTACGTTCTTTTGCATTTTTAAACCATTAAAAGGTAACATGTGATCTAAATATGTTAATACGTACGTTCTTTTGCATTTTCAAACCATTAAAAGGTAACACAGTGATCTAAATATGATAATGTGTACGTTGTTTTGGCCAAATACAACATTTCAAACCATTAAAAGGAAACATGTGATCTAAATATGTTAATATGTACGCTCTTTTGGAGCTTCAAACCATTAAAAGGTAAGATGGTGATCTAAACATATTAATACATACATTGTTTTGGACAAATACAAAATTTTCAAACCATTAAAAGGTAACATGTTGATCTAAACATGTTAATACGTACTTTCTTTTGCATTTTCAAACCATTAAAAGGTAACATGTTGATCTAAACATGTTAATACGTACGTTGTTTTGGACAAATACAACATTTTCAAACCATTAAAAGGTAACATGTTGATCTAAACATGTTAATACGTACTTTCTTTTGCATTTTCAAACCATTAAAAGGTAACACAGTGATCTAAACATGTTAATACGTACGTTGTTTTGGACAGATACAACATTTTCAAACCATTAAAAGGTAGCATGTTGAGCTAAGCATGTTAACATGTACATTCTTTTGCATTTTTAAACCATTAAAGGGTAAAATGGTGATCAAAGCATGTTAATACATACATTATTTTGAATTTTCAAACCATTAAAAGGCAACACGGTGATCTAGATATTATCATTCGTACATTGTTTTGGTCAAATACCCTTTAATTGTTTGAAAATGTTGTAACATGTGATCTAAACATGTTAATACATACGTTCTTTTGCCTTTTCAAACCATTAAAAGGTAACACGGTGATCTAGATATTATCATTCGTACATTGTTTTGGTCAAATACAACATTTTTAAACCATTAAAGGGTAACATGTTGATCTAAACATGTTAATACTTTTGCTGGTTTTGCATTTTCAAACCATTAAAGGGTAACA